GGGGCCCTGAAACCCACTGGGGACTTTCAGTGATGAAATGATGGATAACAGAATGCTGCTCCTCTTTGGTGCATGTCAAAAATGTAGTGGCCATCTTTAAACTATCCCTGTGATGTCACATGCTTAACACTCTTAACAACAGTATTACGAGGATACGAGACAATGGTGTGTTTAGTGTTAATCTTTATCACACTTTAAAAGTTTTCATTGGAAACCCTCTCATATAAGAACACAAGAGGAGGATATTTCCAAGAAGAAAGAAAAGCAGGTGTTGACTAGCATGAAGGTGGGCACAGAACATTCAAGTTGTTTGGTGTGCAGATACTTGTCTTTCCTTTGGAGTTAGCAAAGCAGGCAGAGAGGAGAATCATGTTGAATGGGCAACACATGGTTCTTTCAAAAGTACCCTGGTTGCGGAAAGGAGGAACTTCATCCCTGGCCTGAATGGGTACAGCCATGGGTTGTGATTCTTCCGTCTCCCTGTGGAACATTGTAACCAGTTGAATCACACAGAGATTGTACTCCGCAGTTCCAGAGATGAACCCTTCCAGGAATCTTTCGCATAATTGTGCTTGAAACCAGAAATGCAGTAAAACGGCTAGACAGCTTTCCCTGGAAACCCAGATAATTTTTTTTTTATGTCAAGAATTGACATTACTGCACTTGGGACATTCCCATACGTGCTCCGTCTCCTTCTTTAGTAGCCAACGAAGATTTAACATGCTACTAATGCCAATTGCAACCTGATTGAAAGTCTGCCTGTTTTCACCTTAGTGTTGAACCCATAATCGCATCTCATTCAAGTAATCCTTTGATGTCTGCATTCTCTGTCTCTTCTATTGCACTGTTCATTTGATTCCAAAGAGCTTTAACCACGTCCACTTTATCATAAAAAGTTCACCACTCACTGGAGCAGCAGCAGCAGCCAATCTATCAGCCTGCTCATTACCCTGAACATCTGGACAGAAAATCCATAGAATATTAAATGTATCTTGAGTATCAAAATACAGATGTATGGGAACTGGTGAAAAAAACAAGAGCCTTATTGGTAGGTCATTATTAGAATGTTTCTGTTGAAGACTTACTCTTCTCTGATGTTGGTTCCAACTCCACTGTGGCATAGCAGGAAATGAGATGGCGGATAAACTGGCCGAAGAGGGAATGCTAGGAAAACAGGACCTCCATCCTATATCACAATATGAGGCAAAGACGCTGACCAAGGAGAAATACGGAAACTCCTGAAAGCACAGATTAAGCAGCAAATATTCAGAAGATCCAATCTACAAACCAGCCAGAAGGCAGTACATAACAAATGTTCGACTATGAACTGCAGACTTAACGTACACGCGCACAGGAGGAAGGCTACACAGTCTGCCCAATTTCCCTGCCAAACCGCTCTCCAAAACCTCAGCGTGGCTGCTTCGGGATTCGTAACTCAAGTAAAGAAAAGATCCCTTTCCACCCCTAAAGCGCATCGGGCATATGGGAAGAGCACCCATATTTGTAAAGACCATTCGGCACTAGGTGGGTAGTGTGGTCAGCATTACCCCGGCCGTCCTTACTTCCCCAGGAAGTACATCCTGGGTACTCCTTTTAGGCTGGGTCTAAAGGTTCTCGCAACGCCTAAGCCACGGACGCCGCAGGTCAGTTGGGTGATTTTCTATGTCTTGTTTGATTTATGTATGTGCTGACGAAGACTCTGTAGCCAGGACGTTCACATTTCGTTTGTGTTTGTTATGTTGTAAAGCTCACTGGTCTACTTTTGGTTTGGTTTTATATGTTTTCAAACACCCCAGCACAGGATTGCCCTCTACGGTAAAACTTGCGAGAAAACACGTGACCAGACAGAAAAGGCATCTAGAACAAACTATAGAAAGCCTTTGCAGACTTGCTGGTTCACAACAGCTCACTATCTGAGCAAATGACTATTCTTCTGCACTTTCTATTTCACCGCCTCGGGTGTCGAGAGAGATATAAGGTTGTGCTTCTTGCTCTTCTGGTCGCCTCGACCATAGACAACTCCAACCCCACGTCCACGTCGTGGGAAACGGTAAACACTACAAAGTAGAGAATTGCTATGATTGGACGATATATGCCGTGGCCTTGTGCCACAAGATCACTACAGTAGTCGTGGAGCTAGGATTGGACGATATATGCCGTGGCCTTGTGCCACAAGATCACTACGGTAGTCGAGGCCAGCCAGGGTCCCTCTGAAACGTCCTGGCCAGCTGTGCTCTGGTGAAATTGCGACAGGCCTATCAAGTAGGCAATAGGTTTATTATCGCTACAGAGAATACAATGAGCATATGAAACGAATAGCAAAGAAGAGAAGTTGTTCCAGCTTCAAAATTTAAAAATTTTCGCAAATCCATTTTTTTTTTCTGTTGACATGTACTTTTCTCGCTCCTTGTTATGGCATATGCCTGTCTGGTGTCCCCTCTGGGCTGCTACCTCAAGGTTTGACCACCATTACGACTTGAACGGTCACACCCTGGATGCCAGTCAAACGAGACAAAACCCAGATACACAGATCCACCCCCCCCCACCCCTCTTTGTTCTTTCCAATAATTAAGCACTGGGATAGAGTTCTTATTCTGCCTTTCTATCCCCCAATGGAGCATTGTCCCTCAACCAACTCACACAAAGTTATTATATTCTTCGCTGTCACTATGTAACAAGTACATAATGGAAATTACTTTCCTTTCCTGAATCGGTCCTCTTCTACCTTGGGGTATAGAGGTTTGCCAGCGAGATCGCCAGACTTCTCTATAAGCAGTTTTAACGCCGTTAAGATCCCTCCCGTTTTCTCTGTGTGATAATTTGTAATCGGGACTTTAGGCACACACACCAAAAAGTTGATTGGCCTGTTGTGCCTCTGCATGCTGGTACAGCTTGCCGCTTCCGTACATGCCGTCTGGCTGTTTCATGGCTACTCACTATCCTCGTGCACAGCAGCTCGCCACCCCCTCAATAATCGTCCAACAGCACTAGAATTCAATGGCAAGGGAGTTATGATAATCGTGTACACCAGCCTCCCCCCCCCCCCCCCTAAACAATTTTCACCAGGTACTTTTATACCGATGCAATCCGTCCGATTTTTAGGGGAAGGGGGGGGGGGTCGTCGAATTCAACCAACATCCCCAAAGGGGGAGCTTTTGGATTATAGTTATGACTAGGTTATTTGCGACATATAGAATGGCTCAACATTGCTCGCTACCAAGTAGCCCTGAAAAGGACTCTTGCAGTGGTTATCCGATCAAAGGAGACAGACCCAAATACTGTCCCGCCCGACGACAAGGCCGTCTACTGGCCAGCCAATTGACTACCCGGTCCCCGATGACTTTAATACCGGGCCAACTCATTCTTTTTTGGTGCAATTAACACTTCTTAGCCAACCCCTACGTGGCGGGTGAAAAAACAGACCACAGCTATAACTGATACTGCTCGCAATAGGCCGAACGTGGACGATTATTATTATTTATTTATTTTTTTTTACATTTTATTTTTAAATAAATGAACTGGTAATCTGGTAATCTTAGTTTCAGCTTCATGGCAAACGGATCGCCTCATAGTTGCTCCGCTCCTGTCTCAACGAAAAACACACAGAATGTTTTTTCACAGTACCTTGTGGAAAGATTGACAGACTGCTGTCTCAGCATATGCACTAACATACACACGCATTACGGTAGCCATCCAAAGTGCTAACACAAACAGGCCGACATTAGAAATGCAGCTTATCATGGATGGAAGTATAAGTCGCCAACAGATCAGCAGTTGTACACGCGATCAATTTTAATCACATAATAGCACCACCAATATTGCGACAACGGGCATCGCGCCATTTTCTGAATCTACAGTTTACACCACCACTTTGGTCACAGTCGAAAAACATTCAAAATGAAATCCGCAGCTAACCGTGTCACGCCATGTACAACACAGAAGCTGGGCGACGAAACTATATCCTTTCAGTCTACAAATGGAGCAAAAATGCAACGGCCACCGTCTGGCAGAAGCAAAAAAAAAATTGCCACGGTTAAAAACAGTGCCCGTGACTAGCGTCCATTTTCACCTGAAACTGGAGACACGTGTAGCACTCAGGCTCTGCCAGACCCTCCTCCTTTTCCAGCCGGTCTTGGGACAGATCTTAAAGGGGTTGGTGGAAATAACACTATACACAAATCATACTGGAAGAAATACACATGATTGTTTCTCCATTTTTCCGTTCGTATATTTGCCACTACGTCACGACAAAATGACTTCGCGTCCTGCCATAGAACGCACCCATCACTCCATTTCGATATCATTTTTAGTGACATTGCCTCAAATCTTGTTCTTTGTGAGTAATTGTGGAACCAATCATGTCTAGCTCGCCACTTTCTAGAATGTTCGAAGGACGAGTTGCCTTACCAACCAAACGTCTGTAGCTCCGTGAAGAAACGGCTATTATCTCTTATTTCTGCCAATATTGGATTCAGCTAAACTCACATATTCTTTACACGACGTCGCAAAATAAGTTTGTTTGTTAGCTATTCTACGGCTATACCAGGCTATTTTACATTCAGTAGTTTGCCATTTCTTTCTGACAGACTCGATGCCTATATCAATGTCGAAATTAATGCAAAGTAGTCTGCCAGGCTGGGACACAGGTTATACATTTCAAGTTTTCACATTCTAATGTGCGTAAAATGTCATAGTGATGTATGAATGTGGATACTGGCGATGTTCTTGGAAATTAAGTAAACCATATAGACGAAGACCAGCTATAAAATCAAAACGTCTTATTTAGCACAGCAGTTTTTTCATCGCAGGTCGAGTTTGATAGCGCTGCTGCCACTCAGTCGAACCGAATATTTCCAATCACGAAGCGCTTTCGCAACGTCAGATTCATACCCGCCGTCAACTTTGAAAGACGGATGTGAACATATGCCGTCACAATAGTAATTACTAAGTGATTTGCAAGTGGTTTCAAAGATTGTGAGATTACCATTGGGAATGTCACTATGTGCCTAGCCCGGGACAACGTTACTCACTTGTCTAATCCTGACAGCCACGGGGATGTGTACACGGCCAGTTTTGAACTCTTCCCCTTTCACGAAGGGTCTTCCTACTCCTTCTTCATGGGCATCATGAACGGGAATGGGCCTCTACGTGGGCACTTCTGCGTCGTGCGAGCTATGTTGGACAAATGCGCCAAGGCTCGAGACTGGACATATACTCTGAGAAGATCGTACGAAGCAGCCAGACTTGCAAGTGAGTTTAACAAACTGCTGGGTTATGTTGCCGTCACCGTACAGATACCAATCCTAACTCAGGTCGAGACGGTCTCTGATTTTTCTTGTTTGTTTCGCTGTTTGAAACCTCATGAGAAATATCTCAGACCAGACGAGTTCGTCACCATTGAACCTTTTCTTCATGAAATATTCCAGAACTTTGACTCATCCACAAAAACTTCTGTCGTTTGTGCAGAAGACGTTGACGATGAAGCTGATGAAGAAGATTTGGGTACCTGCTTTTGCACACACAGAAAATCCACCAATTTAAAGTCAAACGATAATGACAGAAATTCGAATGTATGCCCATCATCTGCTTATAGAAGGTCGAGAGATTTCGATTTCACGAACGATGAAGATGGAGCTATGGGATATTGCACTTCGTCTTCATACAGAAAGTCTAACATCCGAAACTATAAAAATAATGACAAGAACGCCTCTATATATTCTCCATCTGAGTTTGAAATATCTATAGACGAAGATTTCGCTGACGAAGATGATTTAGGATCCTGCTTATGTATTTCGGCGGCTTTTCGGAAATCTAAAACTCGCGACTGTACAAACAGCGAAAAGTTCAGCGACTTCGAATCTGAAGCATTGACCCCCAACTGCTTGTTAGGCAACACTCCTACAAATATAGCCACCGCCTTTAGCCATTTCTCCTGGCATTTTACCAGAAAACTGCTGGTATGCAACCTCCAGGGCGTCAGTAATGGCGTCTCCTGCACCTTCACAAATCCGACCATCCATTCTACCAGCCGCCAGTTTGGAGAGGGCGATGGTTCGATTCCAGCAATCCTTGAATTCTTTTCTTCACATAGATGCAGCAATATCTGTCGCAAGTGGGACAGGTGTGGCTATGGGAGCAAGCCCCAACGGCGTGTTTCTTTTGAAAACCAGATGGGTGATTCTGGCTGTCTCAGCAGACTTGAGCCAGTCAAACAGCAGTCGCCTTTTCTGTTGCGTGATAATTGTTTAGGTACTTTATTGTGAGCCCGCTTGCACTCTCACGCTCCCCCCGCGCCCGCGCGTACATAGGTAAATATACAGGCAAAAGGACAAATGGGTAGATTCATGAATAAACGAAGGATTCTTTTTCTTTTGCGTTTGTCCGGAGATGTAGATGAGATGTGCCTGAATACAACATGGCTGTGATTATTTGCTCCTTTCGCTGACACAGCAGACTTTTGCGGGCATTTGTTGACCGAGTTAGCCTTTCCCGCAATCAATGATGAAACTAATAAACACATGCACACGCACGCAAAAACACATACAGTGAATGTGACATGTGAGAGCGAGAGAGACACGAAAGAGAGACACGAGAGAGAGAGAGAGAGAGAGCGAGAGAGAGAGAGAGAGAGGTGAGGGAGGGAGAATTTGATACTTACATAACAAACATGGTATAATAAGTTCAGTAAAAAGACAACATTTTATGGGGCGGTCGATAGCGGAACAAAATCCTAAAAACAACTGGCATATTTAATTGGTGGAAAAAAGGTAGGTGGGGGGGGGGGGTACTTTGATGACACAAGGATATGAACTATTTCGTTTTATAATTTGTTTCTTTTAATATTATAGTTTATCTAGAAATTTAATATAAATCGGTATAAGTCCATTAGACATATACATTTAAGCATAATAATTTTATGTACGTTTACACATATCTCGTGCATTTCAAAGCCGCTCATTACAACCCGTCTGTTTTTAATTCGTTAAATTGTTTTTTTAATTGCGTTGGTTTTCACGTTCTCATATTCGTTGTTTGGTCTAAACCAGAATTTACATTGTTTGGCTCGTGTGTATTTTCAGATGTCTTATTTTTAAGAATAAACAATAACAAAATAAAAATTGCAAGTTTATTCGTTAAATTTGTTGTAATGGATATTTTTCGGGTTAGTGCTGTATCTGACTTCTGCCGTGTTCAGCGGATTTTTTTTTTCATTGTTGTGTGTTTGTTTCCAGACTGTTTTGCTTTGGTTTTAACACTGGTATCGAGAGCCGGCCGTTCTAGGGCAATGGCAAACTACTGGACGCAGATTTGCCTGGAAAGCCACAAGAGCAAAAAACTATGCGGGGGCTTGGTACTGCAACGTCCTGTAAAGGAAACGCAATTAAGCAACTAACTGTTTTTCAGTAATTCTATGCGGACAGATAGATCTACCCCTGGTACGCATTAGAGAATAGTGGAGAGAGAGAGAGAGAGAGAGAGAGAGAGAGAGAGAGAGAGAGGGGGGGGGGGAGGCAGATAAATGGATTGTTAGTCAGAAATGCACAAAGCTATAAAGTAAAGGGACGCGACGTCAATAAGACAGCCAGATAGAAAACAGGCAAGAGAGAAAGAGACAGAGAGGCGAGAAAAAGGGGGGGGGGGGTATGCAGATGGATGGATGGTTACATATGCACACAAACCAAACAATAAGCGGACACAAAGTCAATAAGACAGCCAGATCAAAAACAGACAGGCTGGCTGGCATGACTGAGAGAGATAGAGAGTGAGGAAGAGTGAGAGAGAGAGAGAGAAAGTGAGAGAGAGAGTGAGAGAGTGAGAGAGAGAGTGAGAGAGAGAGTGAGAGAGAGTGAGAGAGAGAGTGAGAGAGTGAGAGTGTGTGTGTGAGGGAGAGTGAGAGAGAGAGAGATAGAGAGTGAGAGAGAGTGTGAGAGAGAGAGAGACAGAGTGTGTGAGAGAGTGATAGAGAGAGAGAAAGAGATAGAAAGAGAGTGAGAGAGAGTGAGAGTGAGAGTGAGAGAGAGAGTGTGTGTGAGAGAATGAATGAGAGAGAGAGAGAAAGAGATAGAAAGAGAGAGAGAGAGTGAGAGAGGCCATCGTCACACCTTATCAATGACGCTTTATCAAACGACCAGGTAACTGGTCTGAAACTGAGATACCTAGCTGACCTTGGGTAATTATTAAAATGTTTTCACACACACACGCACGCACGCGCACACACACATACGCACGCGCGCGCGCACACACGTCAGCGACTTTGGAAATCTGTATCTACAGATCCATTGCTATGTTAACGAGTTGTATCAAATGAAGTCATCTGGTTGTAGTTAATGATTTAATCAATTCTGTTGACGTCAACTTCGTCGTTGGAAACTGCCTCCTCTGCGTTTTCTTGATCTAAGTTTGTAAGAAATATCTTCACTATCGCCATACTCGTCAAACATGTATCTTATTCCTTACATAGATTATGCATCCTATCAATAAAAGTAAATAATGCATTGATGAAATAACAAGGAAATTTGCATATCTATGGTCGATTTTCAGGTTCGAAGGAAAAGTGGCTAGAGAAGTCAACATGTGATGTGCAGAAGCTAATAAGCTGCTAGTGAAACTAACTTATACCCAGTTTTAGAAACTGGAACGCATGCAAAATGAAGCCATGCGAATGATTGTGGGATGTTAACGGAACACGCCAATTGTGTGCAGGCGGCACGTACTTGCATCGCCGTCTGTTTATGAAGGATACAAGGTGTAACATGTACTTTACAATCGAAACTAACATGGAACATCTTCTACGTGGGGCCTTAAGGGAAAGCAAGGCACATATGCAGAAAATATGCGGCTCTTGGGTGGCAGAGGCAGAAGTGTTTGTGCTACTGGCAAAATAGCGCAGGGTGAGGAATGGATCACACTGTAGCCAAGCAGAATTGCCCCACATAGAATGATGGTTACTTTGGACCGAAAATGCTGGGATAGCTGGTGAAAGAGAACCAGCCGGTGCAAGAACTGACTAATGCAAATGCCTGTCCAGGTGATATCATTATATACACAGCTGGGTCTTTGGTGAAAGCTAAGAAGAGTTTGTGGAATTGTTATTGCAAAGGTGAATGGATCATCATCATCAGGTACCTTGCCGACTGGTGTGAGCGATCGTGCCTCTCCACAATCTGCGATCTCCTGCAGCATGTAACTCTTCGTGTGCCGACACACCTCCATGCCCTGCAACAAGACTGTCAAGAATGTTCTCTCGATGTCTTCGTCTATCCCTCCTTCCACAGAGTCCAAGTCCTTTTGAGAAAAAAAAAAGGAAAGCTCGACCACGTTCAGACTGCTGCTAGCTAGCCTAGGCTGCTAACAGTCTCCGCCTATATTTGTGGTCTGGGTTATTTGCGTCACTTTCGTGACTGAATACTGGTGTTTGTGCCATTTCTGGCTTAATGCTTCCATCCGAATCAAACCGCTCGTCCTGTTGTCACTGGTGCATGTCTTCCTTCCACAGATCGTTCCAGTGGTATAAAACATGTTATATTTTCCCTCTTCTCATAACATGGCCGATAAATGATGACTGCTTCCTTCTGATGTCTGTGTTAAGTTGTCTTCCGGCTCCCGCCCGAATGGATACTGTTTTAAAAAAGAGATCCTCACTTACAATTCCACTATATCCAGCATGAAAATGGAGGTAGGGGCAGTAGCGGCAGCTTTTCGACGGCCGGAGAGCAGCACAGATTGAAATGTTATACTTGTAACACTCACAGAGCATGCTTTAGACAACTGAAACTGGCAACCTACGCATAGAATGGTGCCAATTACGTGATAAGACTCAGACAAGGAACACATCATGTATTTTCTGTCCAGGACATTCAGGTGTGCACAGTAACAAACAGACTGATAGATTGGCTGCTGCAGCTTCTCTGAGCTACTTTAAGATAAAGCAGACGTGGCGAAGGCTCTCTGGAACCAAATGGTAAGTGCAGTAGTACAAAGAATCCACACATTGAAAGACGGGGGGGGGGGGGGGAGGGGGGGGGGGGATGATGTTAACTGATTCAGAATGGGATTACCTTTCTGTGATCAATATTTGCTTTGTGTCACAGTCTAACAGATGATCAGTAACTTAGCTATAACGCACCTGGCTGCTTGGACACTGCTGTGAGCACTTTGGCTGTCAACAACTCTGTCAGTCCATCGCCTTCTGTGTGTCTATGTTTGTGTATGTATTTCTGTTTGTGTATGTATTATGTATGTCTGTATATAAGTGTGCATGTATGTGAATGTAAGAGTATGTATATGTATGTGAGTGTGTAAGATTGTGTACACATAATGTGTTTATGCATTATTCTATAACGTATATTTCTTTATTACATCCATAACATGCATTATTGATAACAGGCATTGGTACTCTGAAAAATGAGTAATTAGAAGGGCCGAATGTCAGACAGGCCTGCGTGCCCAATTTGTAACATTTTGAAAATAAACTTTGTTCGTTCCATCTCTCTGATCTGTCTCTGATGCTGCAACTTTCCTAACTGATTCAACATCCAACACAGCAGTATCTAATATTTTTTGAGTTATGGCCCTTGCTTGCCACAACCTTTCCTGACTACTACTCATTTCCTGTGTTCCAGAGCTTCAACTGGTCTGGCAGACATTTGGATTCTTCTCCAAGATAGTTACATGATTTTGTGTATTCTTGTTGGCAACTATAAGTCTGTTTACATCCTGCCCTGATGAAGGCTCTCTAGCCACAATGTTTACTTTTGGTTTGTGATTGTGTTCATGTGGAGATGACTGGTTGTGAACTTCAATTTTGTGTGCACATCCATTTTACAGGACCAATTATATAAATGCAGGCTGTTGGTTCCTCACCTCAGGCAGCTGAAATCTGACTTTAGGGGAAATCCTTATCACCTTTTGGAAAATGCTTGATAAAGGCAGTGGGTCTGTTTGCCCCCCCCCCCCCCTTTTCAAATGGGGCCTGTAACCCACATGGGAAATCTCATTTTCGAATGGTCTATAAACCCAAGGGTCTAGCTCAATGTGCCTGATACAAAAATGTTTCCCTTTTTCAACAACAAAAAGAATGAGACAACTTTCATCATCAAATGCCTTGCCGACTGGTGTGGGTGATCATGCCTCTCCACAATCTGCAACCACGTGTATCAGTTCGTGTGTTGACACCCCTCCATGCCTTGACAAAAAGACTGACAAGAATCTTCTCGCACTGTCTTCCTCTGTCTCTCTTTCCACAAAATTTTTCGAATGGTTACATGTTTTTTTGCCCTCTACTCATAACATGACCAAAAAATGATAACTGTCGCTTTCTGATGTTTGTGATAAGTGTTCTCCAAGCACATGCCTCTTTTAAAACATCTGGGTAACTCTTCTTAGCTGTCCAAGGAATGCTAATCTTCTGCAAAACCACATCTCCAAGGCCTCAAGATATTGTTCGGCCTGTTTATTAATTGTCCAGAATTCACAGCTGTATGTTAAAACTTGCTCTATATAGAAACCATCAGAAGTTATCCTTGTGGATAACTATATTGGTCAAAACAACATTAAAAACAGAACAACTGGAACACTATAACTTACTTTATCAGACAATAATTTAATCAACTAAAAGAAATTAACATTTAACCGCTGTAATTAATTTTTTTGTTCAAACCATAATAAATATTACACTTCTTAAGCAGTTCACATAATGTACACAATAATTAATTCACCCATTCTGCCTTGGTGGGCTGGATTTTAGACCATCATTGTCCAAAAAACCTGTACACAATTCTTGAACAGCCTATCTGGCAGACTAACATTTTTGTTGTTTTAAAATAAAGCACATTTATGATTTATTTTTATGAATTAAAGTGTAGGAACATCTGTGCAATGTTGCCAATAGTTTGTAATTACCACTGAAACTGGGTCAGTAATGGCTAATATCAATTACATTATTAAAAGTAGGAGAAAAATATTTTGAATTAAACACAACATCCAATGTGGCAATGTAAAATACCTGTACATTTAATAATTTAAACTTTTTTATTTATTTTTAAATAAATTTCTAAAAGCATACATTTTAAACTGGACAATACTAAACTAAATCAACAAATCTGATCAGAACTATTTTTGGGGCCAACTTTATGCTACCGGTGTCAAACATGGACCCTTATTATAACTAATGAAATCAAAATTATACCAACAGAGATGAGATGATGAGATAGTAAAGAAGAGATGGCAGAGAAACAAGAAGAGGTGACATTAAAACAGAAGATATCAGAAGCTGGTCAGGTCTGAAACCAGTCATGCAATTCATTACAAAGTAATCCCTATGTGGGTTCCGGTGACCTATTACAGGGAAAAACAAGAACAGACCCACTGCCTACCCAAAAGCATGTCATAAGTGTCGACTAATTGGGAGCTTCCTTTAAAGTCAGAGTGCATCTGCCTGAGAGGCAAGAAACCAGCAGTCTGCAATCAAATGAGCCAGATCTTAAAAACGCAGCACTCAGGTTCTGGAATAGGACTGCAGTCCAGAAGTGGTTGTACAATCAGAACTTTTCGACCACAATTCTGGTGAAGCAAAGAAGAAGAAGATTACAAAGTAAGACCCAAATAGGTTGGGGCCCCACTGTATCACTGTATGGGGGGGGGGGGGAAATAAACCCACTGCCCCCATCAAGCGTGTCGTTAGAGTCTACTAATTAGGGGTATTTCCTCCGAGGTCGGAGTGCACCTCTCTGAGAAGCCAGGAACCAACAGTCTGCAAAAAAATAAGCCAGATCTGTGGAATGGATGTACACGCAAAACTCAAGATCTTGAAACGAGATTAAAGTCCAGAAATGGGACCCCCCCCACCACAAGGAAAAAAAAGACGAATATTAAAAAACAACAAACGTTTCCGCCAGAGTTTACAGCCAGTGAAGGCAAAGAAGAGTACAGAGTAACAAATGAGGTGGCATGGCCATCTGACAAGAATGCCCTGGTACTGACTGTTACGTTGAAGAAATACAATAGGGACACACCAAGGGGAAGACCACCTAAAAGATAGATCAGTGGAGTCAAGAACGGTTCAAAAGAAATAAAGGTCAATTTATGCAACGCATTAGAAAGAGCAAAAAAGAAAGAATCAACCATTTCTGACATACGCAGGATTTTTACATACACCACCTTGGCTTCCATGTTGACCCAGCCTTAAATGGGTACCAGGGAAAGTGTTGGAAGTAAAGGCGGCCGGCACGATGTTGACCACATCTCCCACAAAGAGCCGATTAGTTTATAAAAATACAAGTTTAGCCGGACATGCCCGATGTGCCACTGGCGGGTATAGAGACCTTTACTTTTAAATTTTATTTTTGAAATATATTTTTCCGTGCCGTGGCATCAAACTACCCGGCATCTTTTCTCTTGGACTTCCTTTGCCTCGCTTCCCCTCCAAGTTTATTATGGTAAGTGTAATATTTGCACAAAGCACACAGATAGATAGCTACACACAGGAAGTCATGGCTATGACCCAGATTCTGAATGCAGCGCAGAATATAAAATGATCCAGGCAACCTGCGAAAAGAAATAATAAACAAATATGACCTACTCAATAAAGAAAATTATGTTCTTTTTTACTTCCTCTGTCGAGGGAGATAAAAAAGGTTCTGCTTCACGCCTTTCCAGTCACTTTTAAACTGGATTACTGCACCACTGTACAGTTCCTCGGATGGTATCTTTTCATCTTGTTCTTGGTTGACCTAATGCCCTACATTCCTCTCCTCTTTGGGTGTATGCTTGTATGGTTTTTAAAAAAAAAAGGGGGGGGGGGAAGGGTTAAGGGATTGACTTTACTACACCAGATTTATGCAGTATGAATCAGTCTCTCTCCAGAGAAAAACTGAATGCCTTCAAGAGCTTTGTCCAAAGCCCAAACACTGTAGCTTCAGGAGTCTCATAAAAATAGCACTCATGAACCAAATAGCTTAACCTTGAAATGAACCCACGACCGTTAGAGTACAAGGCAAACAGCGTGACCACTTTGCCATGATGACCCCTGCCTTAAATGGTATAGTGTCGCAAGGCATTCTCTCTAAGTGGCCAAACATTTTATTTGCTGCCTTGATTTGTAATGTAGTACTGGTCCTTTGGAGCCTATCATTGTTTTGTTACTGAAAATATATGAGTCAATCAGATAATACATCAAGATCCTGAAACCCAGACCTTAAAAAGTCAAGTGGATCAGTCACCACCACCACACCTCCCCCCCCCCCCCCTCCTCCTCGTCCACCCCTTTTCCAACAGGAACCTGTTTCCAGAAAGATCTCAGACAGCGATAGATAGGTCTTAAAAAGTATGATCCCCGGGGTCCAATTATGGTTAAAACAAGAACAGACCCACTGCCTCCCTAACAGTTATGTTGTAAAAGTAGATTAATTAAGGGTTTTCTTCGAAGTCGGAGAGCATCTGCCTGAGAGGCAAGGAACCAACAGTCTGCCTGAGAGGCAAGGAACCAACAGTCTGCCTATAAATGTCAGATCTATAAAATGGATATACATGCAACCCTCAAGTTCTGGAACAAAACTTAAGTCCAGAAATGGGCGAACAATCAGAACTTTCTGCCGGAGTTAACAGCCGGTCAACGCAAAGAAGAAACAGTATGAGCCCTAGTCACACTGCATCAACATTTGTGGTTCATTACCTCTGTCTCCTAAATTTAAATTTAACTTCAAAAAACTAAAAGGCATATTTACCAAAAATGAAGAAAAAGATGTCATCAGTCCTTCTTTGAGGATCTCAACTGCTCCTCCGTACTCCTCCTCCTCCACTTTCTGGAAGCTGTTGTAATAAATATACACTATGGCAACATTCACAAGCAGAAACCTGCAACCAGAGAGAATCAGTTATCTGTTAGCCACAAAATACAATTCTTACTCAACAGCATTTACTTTACTGGTCACAGATATGTTTGATAGAGATATGAATAACTTTTCAATATGAAATAATTTTTACCAGATTTTTTTGTTTTTTTCTTCTTCTGCGTTCATCCGAAGATGTAACTGTGTTGTGTTCGTTTACAGCATGGCTGCGATATTTGCACTTTTTGGCCAAAACATCCGACTTCTGCTGGCATTTGTTGACCGGGTTAGCCTTCCCGGTTTTTTTGTTTCTATTTGCCTGGTTCTAATTTTGAAACATCTTTTTATTATCACTACTGACTTCTAAGAAAATCCCAGATTAGTGATTGATGAGGACTATCATCACAGCATTGGACAGATCAAGAGCGGCTCCGATCACATTCTCAGTAGCTCCACAACAGTAGCACGACCGACCAATCAACCCCTTCTATGTTGATTAACCAGACGTCTTGTGCCCTTGGTAAAATGTTCATAACTGGCTACTCCAAATTGCACCCTAATGTCCGCAAACCTGGACAAGGATACTCCAGGCTGCACCCTAATGTCCGCAAACCCAGACAAGGATACTCCAGGCTGCACCTTCATGTCTGCAAACCTGGACAAGGATACTCCAGGTTGCACCCTCATGTCCACAAACCTGGACAAGGATACTCCAGGCTGCACCCTCATGTCTGCAAACCTGGACAAGGATACTCCAGGCTGCACCTTTATGTCTGCAAACCTGGACAAGGATACTCCAGGTTGCACTCTCATGTCCACAAACCTGGACAAGGATACTCCAGGCTGCACCCTCATGTCTGCAAACCTGGACAAGGATACTCCAGGCTGCACCCTAATGTCCACAAACCTGGACAAGGATACTCCAGGTTGTACCCTCATGTCCACAAACCTGGACAAGGATACTCCAGGCTGCACCTTCATGTCTGCAAACCTGGACAAGGATACTCCAGGTTGCACCTTCATGTCTGCAAACCTGGACAAGGATACTCCAGGTTGCACCCTCATATCTGCAAACCTGGACAAGGATACTCCAGGTTGCACCCTCATATCCACAAACCTGGACAAGAATACTCCAGGCTGCACCTTTATGTCTGCAAACCTGGACAAGGATACTCCAGGTTGCACCCTCATGTCCACAAACCTGGACAAGGATACTCCAGGCTGCACCTTCATGTCTGCAAACCTGGACAAGGATACTCCAGGCTGCACCCTCATGTCCACAAACCTGGACAAGGATACTCCAGGTTGCACCCTCATGTCCACAAACCTGGACAAGGATACTCCAGGCTGCACCCTCATGTCTGCAAACCTGGACAAGGATACTCCAGGCTGCACCTTCATGTCTGCAAACCTGGACAAGGATACTCCAGGCTGCACCCTCATATCCACAAACCTGGACAAGGATACTCCAGGCTGCACCTTCATGTCCGCAAACCTGGACAAGGATACTCCAGGCTGCACCTTCATGTCCAAGGATACTCCAGGCACCCTCATATCCACAAACCTGGACAAGGATACTCCAGGCTGCACCTTCATGTCCACAAACCTGGACAAGGATACTCCAGGCTGCACCTTCATGTCCGCAAACCTGGACAAGGATACTCCAGGCTGCACCTTCATGTCTGCAAACCTGGACAAGGATACTCCAGGCTGCACCTTCATGTCTGCAAACCTGGACAAGGATACTCCAGGCTGCACCCTTCATGTCTGCAAAACCTGGACAAGGATACTCCAGGCTGCACCCTCATGTCTGCAAACCTGGACAAGGATACTCCAGGCTGCACCTTCATGTCTGCAAACCTGGACAAGGATACTCCAGGCTGCACCCTCATGTCTGCAAACCTGGACAAGGATACTCCAGGCTGCACCTTCATGTCTGCAAACCTGGACAAGGATACTACAGGCTGCACCCTCATGTCTGCAAACCTGGACAAGGATACTCCAGGCTGCACCCTCATGTCTGCAAACCTGGACAAGGATACTACAGGCTGCACCCTCATGTCTGCAAACCTGGACAAGGATACTCCAGGCTGCACCCTCATATCCACAAACCTGGACAAGGATACTCCAGGTTGCACCCTCATATCCACAAACCTGGACAAGGATACTCCAGGCTGCACCTTCATGTCTGCAAACCTGGACAAGGATACTCCAGGCTGCACCCTCATGTCTGCAAACCTGGACAAGGATACTCCAGGCTGCACCCTCATATCCACAAACCTGGACAAGGATACTCCAGGCTGCACCCTCATATCCACAAACCTGGACACGGATACTCCAGGCTGCACCCTCATATCCACAAACCTGGACAAGGATACTCCAGGCTGCACCTTCATGTCTGCAAACCTGGACAAGGATACAGGGTCCTGCTTGTTATTGTGATCTTTTCTGCAATATGAGCTCACATGGCATTAACGACACCACTCTTGTCCAGTACCGGGCCAGTTGTCATTGCTGCTTTGTCTGGGGGATAATCTGCACGCTCATTGCCTTGAACACCTGCATCACCCAGCACAAGTTAATCTATAATATAGGAACTCCAGTCTACTACTACAAGACATGGTCAAACAACAAACTAGAAAAAAAATGTGTAACCATAGAAATGAGATATTTGAGAAAGACTGCAGTGGTGACCAGAAGAGACAAAAATCAGAAATTAGGTTAGAGGTTATAAGAGGAAAAAAAATCAGCATTGAAACAATACTAAATTACCTACAGAGACAGCAATTACAATGGTTTGCCCAATTATACCACACGCGACATTCACAAAACAGGAGAGGAACACAGAGCATGAGGTAGATCAAGAACAACATAAAAAGATAACATCAGAGAAACTCTACAACAGCACAATATGTCTATGTTCGGGGTAGCCAAAGAGGAGGAAGCAGAACCTTTGATCTTCCTCAAGACTAGAAGCAATAATAGAGGAAGTGAATAATCACCAGTCATTAGCCAACAGCAAATTAACATTTTGATGAAAACCTCATGACCTTGAAGAAATAAACTGTTGCGAAACAATTAGACAAACAGAGATTAATTACACCTAACACCAAAAAATAACGTTAAATCGAACAGCAGTAGCGATCAGAAGCACAGAGAATAATTTTTTAACAAACTACACGTATTCGTCAACTAGTGCCTGCACGGAGGAGAAACAGTAAAACAGTGTAACAAAATAATTCAGGTGGAGCTCTGGTGTGGGTTCCGGGGCCCTCTTTTTGGGGGGAAAAGAACAGACCCACTGCCTCCCTACCAAGCATGCGGTAAAAGGCGACTAAACAGGGGTGTTTCCCTCGAAGTGCGTCTGCATGAGAGGTCAGAAACCCAGACTCTGCATATAAACAGACCAGACCTGTAAAACATATGTGCAAGCAAATTCAAGTTATGGAACAAGACTAAGGTCCAACAGCAGATCGTTCGGTTGAGATTTACAGCCCGTGAATAAGAATAAGAAGAATAAGAGGTTAATGGGAAAGTAGCTTAGTGAGATAAGACAGATTCAAGTCGTGAGGAAAAGATGCTGGGGCTGGATAAATCATCATCATCATCAAGTACCTTGCCAGCTGGCACAGGCGCTCATACATACATCTCTACAGATCTTGGTCCTTGGTATTCTGGATCCATTCCACTGATGATTTTCCTCCATGCCACTATCTTCAGCCATCCACCATTATTTCTGTTGGTCTGCCTCTGCCTCTGCAACCAGTGATCTTTCCAGTGGTCACAATATTTTCCAGTACTCCTTTTCTCATCCAATGCCCAGAAAACTCCTTGTTATTGTTGCCTATAATATTCTACTTTCATTAGCCATTTCCACTGTATAAGATAAATACATATTAAAAAAACAACAACATCTGATGACTTAGTTAATCAACAGATTATCCTCACTGCACATCAAACTAGCCCATAAGCGCTCAGATCCCATCTTCAGTATATACCTCAGCGTGTGGCGACTGATAACACCAGTTCTGCATTGGTTTACTATTCTTCTTTGGCTACATGTATAGTGTTCATTTTGCCATCCTCTTTTGAAGTTCTTGTGGTCTTTTGAGTGTTGCCAATTCAACGTTGTCTCCTGAATCATCTTCTCATCCTGCCACCTTGAGAGCACTGAGAATATCAGCCCAGTCCATTTTTTTCCCTGTACCTACCATGGCCCTGCCAGAAAGCCAATCCGCTCGTTCATTTCCTCTTACCCCAAAGTGACCTGGCACACACACAAAATATTTCCTGCTTCCTGGAAAGTATTTTCTTTAGTAGCAACAGGAAAAAGGAAATAGACGGACATACAAGAAGAAAATGTACAATGTTCAAAACAGAGGGAATTTTTTTTTTTTTTTATGTGAAGAACCATTTTCTTGCCAGTGAAGCCCCAGGCACATGATGCTAAATTCATATGTTTATAGACCAATCAGCACTCAGTAGGTCATGTGATCAACATCACGCTGGCCGGCTATAATCCGCAGGACTTTACCTGGCACCTTTAGGCTAGGTCAACCTGGAGCAAGGTACTTTTTTTTTAAAAACCTGTCTTGGTGTGGATTTAACCCAAGACCTTGAGGGTTTAGGGCAGGAAAATGTAAAATTGATTCAACCCAAGACCTTGAAGGCTTTTTCAAACTTGTCTTAGTTCAGATTCAACCCAAGACCTTGAGGGTTTTAGGCAGGGAAATGTAAAATCGATTCAACCCAAGACCTTGAGGGTTTTAGGCCAGGAAATGTAAAATTGATTCAACCCAAGACCTTGAGGGTTTTAGGCAGGGAAATTTAAAATGAATTCAACCCAAGACCTTAAGGGTTTTTCAAACTTGTCTTAGTTCAGATTCATTCCAAGACCTTGAGGGTTTTAGGCAGGAAAATGTAAAACAGATTCAAACCAAGACCTTGGGGGGGGGGGGGGGGGGGGGAGTTTTCAGGCATTGAAATGTACAAGAGAAATAAAATACTTACAAAGCCAGACCAAGGAAACCTTTCAGCGGAATAATGCCCCAAATTAATCCCAGCACAATTCCCATGATCTGTCGCATCCAGTAGATCACGTCCAGAAACTCATCCTGAAATTACAGAAGACACGATCTGTCACTGGATAGAATGGCTGAGCATCAGTTGGCTGTGGGCCTATGCTCCACTGGGGGGTTAGAAAGGCAGAAGAAGAGGAAGAAGAAGAAGAAGCATCTGTCGCTGGAATTTAACTGCATAATAAACTTCATCATGTGTTCCACCAGGTGACGCAGACGCTCAGGTCTCTCCATAGATATTCTTTTTCTTCTGCTTTTCTATCCCCCAATGGAGCATAGGCCCTCAACCAACTCACGCCAAGTCGTTCTATCCTTCTCTATTGCATGTGGCTCTCCTTATCTTTCTAACTTCATTCTCCAGCTCTCTTCTCTAAATGTTTTTTGGCCTTCCTTTCTTCCTATGCCCCTGTGGGTTCCAATGCAAAGACATTCTAGTTATGCTGTTCTCTGGTTTTCTCAATGTGTCCTATCCAACGCCAGCGTCTTTTCCTCACCTCTTGGTCCACTGGAACCTGTTTAGTTCTCTCCCAAAGTTCTACATTAGTTATTCTATCATACCATTTAATTCCCTCTATTCTGCGCAGGCACCAGTTAATGCATGTCTGTAATTTATTAGTAACTGCCTTAGCTGTTCTCCGTGTTTCTGCACCATACAATAGTACTGATTTGACATTAGAATTAAACATTTTTAGTTTAGTATTTCTTTTAATCACAAATTCCCTAGTGCTATGAAAGCTCTTCTTGCTTTTTGTATTCTTATTTAATATCTCTATCAATTCCCCCATCTTTATCTTCATTACTGCCCAAATAGGTGTATGACTCCACGTCTTGGAGTGAGGCGCCATAAAGAGAAACCACATTACTATTTGCCTGATTTATTCTCATTACCTTTGTCTTAATGGATTTTCAGACCTAGCTGCTGTGATCTCGCATCAAGTATATTTAATTTATCTCTCCATAGATTTAGGTCCTTTATATTCTGAATCAATTCCACAGATGATAGTCCACCATATCCTGTAGCCACTGAGCACTGTTTCTTGGTCTACCTCAGCCTTGTCTACCGCTGTTCTGTCCAGTCGTCATGATGTTCTTCATTGCCTTTCTTCTCATCACATAACCACAGAATTCTGATTTCTTTCTTTTCTTATAGCTGTGGTATGGGTTAAAAAACAGAGTTCAACGGTATCTCAATGAAGCCTGTATGTCAATTCTAAGTAGAGATATTCATATTTTAGTGACATAAACTACCCCCTAATGTTAAGACTAAAGATGGCTGAAACAAGATGGTGGCATGTTCCCAAGCACACAACAAAAACAGGCGATGAAATTAAAAAATTAATAGATTTAATGGCTATAACTTTTACATTTAAAAATAAAAAAGGCTATCCTCCGAATAACGGTCCCAAATTATCAAGGCCGAAAATATACCCTAACAGGGCTTCAGTTACGTATCAACTGCGGACTTCTGGCGACTTAGATTGCGCACTTCCGGCGACTCCCGCCAACGCCGAGAGTATTCCCCACGCTGCATGATTTGGGGCTAAACTAGATGGCTGGAACTCACGAGCAGCAGCTAACGAATCTCCTGCAGCTTCCTTCATTTTATTTGCTTGTGTTGGCTCAATTCAGCGGTGGTGGTATAGTTCCTGGAAGTCGGCAATTGACATATGACTGAGGTCATGGTAGGATATATTTTCGGCCTAAATAATTTGGGACTGTTATTTGGAAGATAGCCAAAAAAATAGAGCAACCACATATATATCATTGCAGTGTGAGATCTAATACCCTACATGTAGTTTTCTAATTTTATTAGCCATTGTAATCCTAGTTACTGGCTGTTCCCATCCGTTGCATGCATCTCTCAGAGACCACATACACTGAACTGATGTTTAAAATATCTCACCTTTAACAAAGAGCTTTACGCTAATTGCTCACACCTCTACCCTCTTTCCCCAACATAACATTATTTTCGGGGTTAGGGGAGGGGAGGTTCAAGGGAACTCAACTGAGCTTCCAAATTGCACTTTTTATAGACTGGCATTGGCAAGTTGGTGAACACCATGCACCAAATTCATTGAGAAACAGAAGATCAAGATGAAGATGAAATAGTTGACATCAAGTAAGAATACAGCCAGAACAAACCACTACCAACACAGGCTCTACAGTAACAGTGCTACACATGAAAAGATCTGAAGTGAAAGCGAGAGGCGGCCCTAGAAGAGATGGATTGATGACATTAAGGAGCTTCTACACCAACACTGAATGACAATAGACATTGCTGCACGTCATCAAGCAGTGGATCGTAAACACAACGCTCAACAGCTGAAGTGGAAATTGATGATTGATCGATGATGATTGCAAATTGTTTGGTTTTCGTTGTTCAAGTTGTTGTTTCAGAAAGGTTGGCACAGAAAGGTGTCTCAATGACAATTTATTCACAGGCTGTGTCCAACAAGACTGATGCTACAACATGATTTCAAACAGTAAGAACATTTGACTAAACAGCAAACAATTGGACCAGCCACCTTATCACTCCATTGAAACTCCGGAGTCATCGCCTTGTACAGCAACGACGTCGTTTGTGTCTCAGCAACCGCCGGCTTGATATTTTTCTTTATGGTCTGGGCAGCCATTTAAATAACAATTAACGAGTCTGGTAAAAATCAAAGACCTCAACAACGCATAAGTAAAATGTGTTATGGCGGAGACGACAGTAAAATGAAGACGTTTGTTGGTTGTTTATCGTTTAGTTCCAAACTCGTGTTTCCTCAACGTGTCGGCCATGTTGTTTGTTTTCTGTTGTTAGTTATCTGCCCATGATCGTCATCATCATCATCATCATGTGAACTTGTGTGTGGGGCAGTGTAGTCTTGAGGCATGGCGTCAGACTCGAGTGCTGGAGGTCCCGGGTTCAAGCCAGGAATTTTTTTCACGCTTAAATTGTAGCGCGCTTTAAAAAAAAAAAAATACCTTGGCGGTTGAAAATTGAAAAAAAGTCACCTTATTTGGAGAGAAAAAAAAAAAAAGTTAGTGCTGTATCCTTTACAGGTACTTTGCAGAACCAACCCCTAACAGTTTTTGGTTCTCCTTAAAACTACGGCCACTTATTATGGAGTACGCCCGAGTTCAGTCCCCTGGCAGCATTGCAATTACGGAGTGGACAAGAGGGAATGACACAAATGACGTAATTACTGTGGGTTTGCGATAGATGCACTGCTGTCATAATAGGGTTAGGGGTAGGGTTAGGAGTGGCCGTAGTTTTTTATGAGTACCAATATCCTAACCCAAACACTAACCCTAACCGTGTTTTTTTTGGGAGGCAAATTTTACCTCTAGTAGTTTGCCATTGCTTTGTATACAGTCGGTTCTCGATACCACTGTCGAAACCAACGCAAGGCCCGCAGCTAGATCGAACCTGGCATCCTGGAATTACGAAGCACGTTCACACCGCCTAAGCCACAGACGCCGACAGATCACCTCATTATGTCATGTACAAATCTCTGACCCCGCAAATATTCTTCCAATGGGCATATTTAGTGAATACACTACAGAGTCTGCAGTTTGAAGTATTAGAACATCCACCATAGAGCCCAGACTTGACACCATCAGACTTAATTTGTTTAGCCCATTGTAGGAACATTGCCTTTACCATGGACTTCCCTCGTATTACATGCATGATATGGTTTCCTTAAATCTGCATTCCGATTTAGTTCTTATATTAATCCACTCAATTGCAGATGTTGCTTCCACTTTTATCTGTCCCAAATCATTATTGTAAATAATTTACACCAAACACTTGTTAATTTCAGTTGAGTTGATTCAAGAACCGACATCACAGCACTCGGGGCATTACCATAGCGCTCCGACCCCATCTTCAGCAACGAGCACAGAGGTCCAATACCAGTGATGCCAACAGCATTCTGACTTTCCTTTCATCTGAGCGTGGAGCATCGGCCAGAACTCATCGTCACTCCCCACTGCACCAATCTCACCAGACTGGTGACCTATTTGCTCCTCCGACTTGTACATGTTCTCCCACAAGGCACTAATCACGTCTGCCTTATCATGCATCAGAATTCCACCAAGTTGAGCAGTGCCAACCAATCTGTCTGCATGTTCATTACCCAGCACTCCCGCATATCCCAGAGAAAAAATCCAGACAATGCTCCTCACCCGTGACATCTGAAGCGAAGCATACCACTCTTCACGAAGCATGCCTGTCAGTCAAGTTTGGACAGAACTAGTTATAAAGAGCAATTAGGTGGGGACTAACGATTTAATCTTCGTTCCATGTTTTTGGTGGTTCTTCAACTTTCACAGGCATATGTCAAAGTTAATATTAGAACTGAATATACATAATTTAGTTTTGAGTTGTGTTGATTCAAGAACCGACATCACAGCACTCGGGGCAGTCCCATTAGCAGTCCGTTCCCATCTTCAGCAGCTAGTGCAGAGTTCCAGTACTAATGGTGCCAGTAGCATTCTGATTCAACGACCGTCTTGCCTTTCCTCTGAGCGTCAAGCAGGGGCCAGATCAGAACCCCTCGTCACTCCCCGCTGCATCAATCTTACCAGACTGTTGTGACCCATTTGCTCCTCTGAATTGTACACATGCTCCCACAGGGCCCTAACCAGGGTACTAAAATTTGGTTTTAACACTATACATTTAGAGTTTCATATTTTGTTCAGACTTGTAAAAATTGGTGATGCTTTAACAATGCGTGTTATAATTTCCTTCTTTTTATTTCCTTGACTTTCGAAATTGCTATCTTTGTCTGCCCCTAAGACTAAGTTTGTACAGCTAATTATCATCATTATGTGCTCTGCAGAAAAGGACAGGCTGTGGTGTTTCATTGAATAAAGTAGGTTGCCACTACTTTCCTTTCTTTGTTGTGACCATACTGGCTGGGTGACTGTAGGAATGGTCTCTATAGTGTGATCTTCTGCCTACCGTCGTGGGAACTTGACACCATAACTAACATTTATCAGTCTCAGGCACAATCTATCATCTACTCCTATGGTTTCAGATATACAACAAAAAAGTTAGTTGTGTGTCCTTTGCAGGACGTTGCAGAACCAGCCCCAGCATAGTTTTACCATTTGTGGTTTCACTAGGCAGTATTTATGTTCTGTAGTTTGCCATTGCTATTGCACAGTCCGCTATCTGTACCATTGTCAAAACCACCACAAGGTGGTCTGCTGCCAAATCACAGGCAGCTGTGATTGAACCCAGCACCTAGGAATTATGAAAGGTGCAGATAACACAGCCTAGCTGTAAACTACAACACAAAGCGCAAACCACTGAAGAAGAAGAATCTGATTCAAGGCAAATGTTAATGGTTGACCAAAGGTTCTCAGCTTGACCTGGCCTAAAATACATACAAGGAAATGTCCTAGGAAATAAAGGAAGCCTTCATGTTTTCAACAACATTAACCATTAAATACCAACTGGTCTCTTAACAACTATGGATCTAACACCATATGATATGCCAAAGGCATAAAAAAGTACTTTTTTAAAATTAGCTTTCATTAAGTTTGCTCTCATTTGTTTGTTTGTCTGTCTGGTAAAATTTTGAATTCAATTTACGTTAATGGCATAAAAAAAAGACCTTTGTTTTTTAAATGAGCTTTTATTAAGTTCGCTTTTGTTTGTTTGATTGTTTGTCTGGTAACATTTTTGCATTCGATTTTTAGTTTGTACGAGTATTATAACCTAACAATGACAAAACACGATAAAATGAGACGCAGACAAAAAACAAGATAAAAACAAGACAGTATAAAAACTAGACAAGACAAAGCAAGATAAGATAAAAGCTAGACTAGATGGGATGAAACAAAGAAAAAGTAAAAAAAATAAGATGAAACAAAGAAGACATGAGATGAGACAAGACAAGATAAGGTGAGACAAAGACAAAATGAGACCCAAATAAAAAACTCAAGAAAATATGTTGCTCCAGTGTTTTTTTTTCCACTGTCCCTGTAATTCATATTTATATTTTCATGTATGGCATATTACACGCTCAGAAAAAACATAACATACTCTGAAATAACCTAGAAGCTATTTATACGTGTTAATTTCAGTAAACGCACACATTTGAGGAAATGTCCACAAATACTTTTAACGAAACAAAAAAAAAGAATATATACTGTATATCACAAACGCATTAACGGGTAACCTCAGAGATACCACACATCATAGTTATAACTGCCAGCATGGATAGTAAGCTGCTCCTTTTAAACTCCGGCAGCGTATGATATGTGATTGCTTCTTCAGCTTCAGTTCTAACCAACATGTAATATGTTCTTACCTTATATATTTTGTTACAGCAGCGGTTCTCAACCTGTGGGTAGCGACCCTTTGAGACTTGAACACCTTTCACAGGGGTCGCTTAAGATCATCGGAAAACATATATTCACTGACATTATAAAGTAGCAGTGAAAATCAATTTACGATTGAACACCCTTTCACAGGGGTCGCTTAAGATCATCGGAAAACATATATTCACTGACATTATAAAGTAGCAGTGAAAATCAATTTACTATTGGGGGGTCACTACAACATGAGGAACTGTATGAAAGGGTCGCGGCAACCACTGGAATAGAGGGTATTAACAAAATCTGGCTTCCCTATTGTCCATTTCCATGGTATGATTAGCCTCCCTCAAGTTGCGAGACCTGCCAAAAAATACCCATGGGGAAAAGGATGGTAGACTCAAATTTCTATTCGAGTACTCGGTAGATGATGTGGTCAGCATCAGGCAGACCACCTTTACTTCCCAGGTCTGTACCTTGTACCCCTTACAGGCTGGGTCAACATGGGAGCCAAGGTCAAGTTTGAAGGAAAAAATCTGACTATGCAGATCTGAATAAAGAAATGTCCGCCCAGCAGATGGGTATCTAGCCATTACAGCACTGTCTTTAGTAAGGATTAGATGGAAAAAAATCTGGACAACAAATTCACTCCAGCAGACGTCAAAGGAATCAGCTCATAAATGATCTAAATGAAACTGAATCGGACTGATGAGCTGAAACTCACATTACTGCAGAAGCTTCACTTCCAATGTGGCAACTCTAGAATTTACTTGGTTCACAAACATAAATAAATAAATTGTTCAACAGTGTATTAGCTAACTAACCTATTAATTTATGAGACAGGAACCACAATATCTCAGTGGCTAGTATGAACGCTTGGACCCTGGTAGTCCCGGGTTCTAATCACCCACACGGCAGGGATTTGTTTGCAGGACGCACGACTCCACGGCAGATCTAGCTTCAGAGACTTTACTACCAGATGCCAGTGTGGCTTCTAGGTCCTGGGAGGGAGGCGGGCATAGACCCAATGCCTCTTGAGGAGTTTGTCATTAAAGATGACCAATTAGGGTGTGCTAAAATTGGATGCATTGGGCAGAAAGTTGCAGATATCGCAGCCCAAAACAATGTTCCAAACCACTTTTAACCCATTGACCCTGGGAACTTAAAAGAAAATAGGCCACGATCCAGTTTTAATTCCAGAAAACAAAAATATGTTGAAAAAAAAATTTTTTTTTACACAGGTCACTAATAAATTATTTGAAAATGTATTTATCTACAGATGTCAATTTTCCCTCAAAATAAATGAAAATATGAAAGGAGT